ACTACCTAGAGAGTTCTGCAAGACTATAACAATGTAATGGAAATGAGAGAGAAATTTAAAAATCAAGATTCAACGAAAATAGAGCATCTTTGACAAGGCTCTGTAATACAATAAGCCAAATGAGAGATAAGAGATTTTGTAAATTTAAATATCAGGATAATGTGATAATATAATACCTCTTACAGTCATATAAAACAGGAAAAACAGGAGAATCTTCAATTATATGCAAGAATTTCTTCAGTTTCAAATCTGACTGCAAAACATAAATAAAAAAAAAAAAGTGTTCAGGCACATCTCAGAGGAAGCATGAAGCATGTCCAAATGGAAAAAGGATGATCATGGATGAAATGAACACATAGTTGGGGAAACCCCAATAACTCATAAGCCTACTTGAGCAAGGTTTATGATAAATTTAACAGCAAGGAAATAATACACAAAAACTCACTTTGTAGAACTCCATCAGTTCATCAGCCCTGAAGTTCCTTTCCTACCATGCCAAAAGGACAAAATCAAAGATTAGTTTGGCATTTCGCATTAAAAATTCATGGACCAGTTAATAATGTTAGCTGTAGATTATTTCACTAAGCCATGTGCTTCTGCACTAAAGGAGACTGTAGAAGTATGTTACTTCAAACATATGCTCACCAAGAAACTGAATGCCATAAATAAAAAGTACCTGCTTTAGTGGCGTAAAAATTATACTTGAAGGTGGTAAAGCCTGGAAAAACGTATGATTAAAGTCACTGGTACATATGATATAGAGAACAACAGATAATTAAATAACACAATAAAATGATCATCAACTATAGAGATCTCTCTTCGTTAATTGGTTTTAAAAAATTTCAGACACAGGGTTTGGGTCATAAGCACCAGTAAACCACATCAAGCAGTATTGTGAGATCAACAATTTCAAACAGACAGCTGCATTAAACAAGGTAGGCCAAACAAGGGAACAAAATTCCCATCACTCCAATCCACATAGTAATTCAGTGAAACATTTGATTACTCCCTCACATTTATAATTTAAGATGATATGAACTAACAATCATAGTTCCATTGCATTACAAAGAAAGAAAACATTTTCTTTAAAAATATTCTCTTCATAAATATTTCAAGCACAAGGCCCCTCCCCAAAATAGCCTTTCCCAGAGGTGGATGTTTACCACAAATGACCAAGGTGCCCAGGCAACAACCTCCTTTTACTAAGGAGCACCAAGCTACCTTAAACACAGCCCAAATGTCTTTCTAAATCTTAAATTTGTAAGTTATCTATCAACAATGCAATTAATTTTCATACTCCACATTTTGAAAGAAATCAACCTCATATGTGAAAGGGCTCTCCAATTTATCTAGATCATGAGTCCCAATGGCAACAAGAGTTCTTCGCCTGAAAAGTAAAAAAAAATAAAGAAAACAAATTAACTGAAAATTCACTCTGAAAATTAAGGGTGCTGTGAAATGAGGTGACCAAAAACAACAACATAAAGATAAACTGATGGATAAAAAGGAAACATAATTTGGAAATAAAACAGCATAAGGTAGAAACAAACGTAAAACAAAAGCCACAAGCAAGAAGGGTTATCCATTGTTTTTTTACGAAAGCTAGCAAAGCAAGAGATTAAGAAAATAATATACAATATCCATTCTAAACCAAAACCAACTCAGAATACTGGGAATATTTTTTATATTCTAAATACTTGTGCAAGTTATCAAAAATTCAGTAAGGAGAAAAAAGGACACATTTAACAGCATTCAAACTTGCAGGGTATTTTGGTTGTAATTGAGAAAAAAGTAGTATGCAGCTCAAAATGAATAAAGCAGAGAGTCAAACCACATTACCGACAAATGTTTTGGTGAAGCTTGTCTTGGAGATCAATAAAGCTGTTGTATCTTGCTTTATCAAAAGTTAAACCTCTTAATACGGCACATACAATATATGGACGAATCAAAGATGTCTACAATGAATGAAGACAAAAGAAACATCTCATTTTCCACTTAGCAAAGGTCCATACTGAAATAAGATTGGTGCATGCATAGCATAACTACCTCCGGCTTCACATGCATTTTGAGCATTGCATCCTTACTAATGTCAGCCAATCTGTAAGTGGGGATCTCCTGGAACCCACAGAAAACTCGGAGGGCTTGAGCAAGCCCTTCAAGGCAGAGCAAGTCATATCTGTGCAAAAAGTAAAAAGCAAGTTAGCACAACTCTTTGAATTAAGGAAAATAATATTTGTCACGAAAGATTTACGAATGGTGACAAGCAAGGTCATTGACTTGCAATTTAAATCGTGAATCATATCGAATCATAAGCATAGTTATCAAATGCGGATTGCGGTATGTCGCGGCCAACACCGAAAAACGCTATAGCGTTATAGCGGGTTGCGGTTGCAAAAATAGTGGAATAGATATATGACAGAAATAATGACAAAAAGAAACATTTTTTAAAGGTAGAGATAGTATAAGTGACATAGAGAGACGCGGATAGACTAAAAAACCCTTAAATTTTTTCTGTTACACATTTAGATTTAGGACAAAGTTGACATTTTGCCTTATGACAACAATATGGCCGCAAACGCGATGGCATTGGCCGCTATTGCGTTCCGTTGTGGCGCGGCGCGGTTTTTTGCGGCGAGGCACCGCAATGCCCATACGGCGCGGCTCGCGGCGCTATTGCGGCGCAATTAACAACTATGATCATTAGATTCAAAAACGTAATGAAATATACCTTAAAGTATATCATATAAATGATGTATTGAGCATATAAGCAAAAAATTAAAAAATCCATAATACATAAGTAACTCGTAAAAAATGATTGTATAATTCTATCAAAAATGGAAATTGGAATATGGCAAGAGAAAAACAAAGAAGAAATTTTGCTTTCTTACTAGCAAAGCTAGAGAGACTCTCTCTGAGAAGTAGGAAGAATGGTAGTATCAGAGTAGGATTTGAGAATTGAATAGACTTTCCAAACCAATTTTATTTAAAATTGATTTAAATTTTAAATATAATTAATTTTAGATTCTTATTATTTTAAAATTTATTTAAATTTATTGAAAGCAAGTTGTTATTGAGATTTAAAATTTATGAAGTAGTAGTAGTTTAGAGGAATATAACTGATAACATTTAAATTATTGTAAAGAACTAATTCAATCCAAAAACTTAAGTTGTTTGGTGAAGGCACATTCATGGTTTTATATTTTTTATTGCACTTCTCTAACACGCCTCCTTACATTAGAGTCTATTGGGTTTGAACGGTGTACAATGCACATCCTACCTACCTATGCTAAGATTCTCCACAATATTTAATTGTCTATTAATAGAATAGGAGCATTGAGTATCGAACTCTAGACCACTAGGTCACAGAGGCTTTGATACCATGCAAAGAACCAATTCAACCCAAAAGCTAAAATAGTTAGGTGAAGCCATGTTAATTGTTTTATATTTTATATGATATTTGTCTAACAATTATTATTGCTCAGATTTATAGCTAATGCCAATATAAGGCAAGTTGTTATTGAGATTTATTGAAATTTAAAATTTGAGTGGGATGAACTTTCAAATATTGACATTATGAGGTAATAGTTTCAAGGAATATAACTGCAAAATGCAAAGCCATTGAATATCAGGATCCAGACCAAGAAAACACAGAAAACTACCACAGCAAAAACCCGAGGAAGTGATGTGCAAAAAGCAGAAAATCTTGAATAGGCAAACACCACAATTCACAATTTCTGAACCGTATCACACGATTTTCACAATTCGTGATCCTGGCCACCATGTGATTCGCTTTGCAATTTGTATCATTTGGATTGCAAATCCTATTGAACCGTACAATATGAATTGTAAATCGCACTAATTCTACAACACTAGAGACAAGGTGTAATGTCGTGCACTGATACATAAACTAACATGTTTCAAAATTCAGTGAATTTGCAATTGCAATGAGAGAATCGTGTGCCATGACATTCATTATGACTTATATAACCTATAGCATCACATTTTCAGTAATTCCTATTATAAACAACACACTTGAATTTTCTAGCCAATCTCCCACTGAAGTATACAAGCTGATTTTATAATGCAATATAGAGTATAAATCCCAAATCCACAAAGAAATTTAAGATTAAAACTCAAAAAGTTAGGGAAATTTATAAAACTTTCAATACCGAATTCACCGTAAATAAAACCATGACGCAAAGAACTGATTACGTAAAACAAATGAATGAGAACAAATAAGTGAACATAATGAAAACATTTACTCAAATATATTATATATTCTCAAAGATATAACAGCGGTACCTGTTGGCGGGAACTTCGATTTTGTAGATTACTTCTTCGTCGTCATCTGCTTCTTCTTCCTCCAAATGCTTCTCTTTTCTCACAATTGCCTTCTCTGTGGTCTGTTACAATCGCACTGTGTACATCAGAATTATATTACTAACTTTTTTTAAAAACAAAATGAACATATTGATTGAGGCTCCATATTTGGACGAGAAAGACGGTGAAGTGCTTACGACGTCGTCGAGCTCGATCCCAAAACTGAAGCACAAGTCTTCGAATTCCTCTTGCGCTGAAGAAGAAAACAAAACAAAAAAATAAATGGCAGTGAGATCGTACATGGAAATTGATGTATATAATATCATAACAGAGAGAGTGAGAAATGGAAGCTCACTGTAAGTTCTTCCTAGAGCCGCAAACAGACGATCCCGCCCCACACTCACGGTAGGCATGGTGCTTTTCTGTTCTCGGAGTGAGCCACTGCAAGCACGACGGAGAAACAAATGATCCGAATCCGAAACCTCGCGTTAGGTTTTTCTATTTTCTTTTTCAGGTTCATTTAAGCCTGGCCCATAATATAAGCCCAATAAGAGTCTGGGTTAAGGTTAAACCCGAACTGGCCCAACAATAATGAAGGTCGTAATTCACGCGCGGCGCCACAGCGCGTAGCATTCTTGTGAAAAAAAATTAAACCCTAACTAGAGAGTTCAAAACCCTAAACTTGGAGCTTCTTTGTTATTCTTCCCCAAATTCGCTTTCTTCAGAGCGCACACACACACACAGCAATGGGTAGCGACAGCGAGGCAGAAAAATCGGCGCATAAAGAGAAGGAGAAGAAGAAGATGCTTGCGCTGGCTCCCATTGCAAAACCCCTTGCAGGGAAGAAGCTTTGCAAGCGAACTTTAAAGCTTGTTCGTAGAGGTATCGTTTGTCTCTCTCTGCTTTTTAGTTTTTCTGATTTGGTCGAAATTACAAGAAAAAATTAATCTTTTTTTCCCCCTTAAAAACAAAGTCTACGATTTTCTTTTTTTGTTGTTAATTTATTGATAATGCTCTGCAAACGATTTATTTTACTTTTTTTACTCTTTAGAAACCTGCATCTTCTGTAACTGTTCTTTTATGGGTATTGTTTCAGCTGCTGAACACAAATGCTTAAAGAGAGGAGTGAAGGAGGTGGTTAAAAGTATAAGGCGAGGTCATAAAGGGTCAGTATTTTCTCAAAGTTATCTTTTTCAGAAAGAGGATTAGAAAAACACACACACTGGGATAATGTGAATTCCCATGTGTTGTTTTATGGTTTTCGTTATTCAGAAGAAATGAGTATCCTAATTTCATGCTTTTGTTAGTGCAGATTCTGTGTTATAGCTGGGAACATATCACCCATTGATGTCATCACTCATGTTCCTATCCTGTGTGAAGAGTCTGACATCCCATATGTGTATGTCCCGTCTAAAGAAGTAAGCAACTAACTTCACCTTGTAATTGATGTTTATATGTCTTTTGGGTAATATTACGGACCTCTTGTTCACCTGTTTCCCTTTGACAACACGAATTTGTTGCCTTATATTTTTGTTCATATAGTTTTTTCTTCTTGGTTTGAATTTAATTTTAGAAGTTAGAACTTGTTTTCTGCTAGCTTTTTTCGTCATTCATAAGAAATATTGAAGCATAAACCAAGAGGGAGACGCCGCACCTTCCAGGATGGACTTGAGTGCTTTTCTTTACTTTTTCTGCAACATTTATAGTGACACTGGTGTTATAATCATTACGAATTAGGCCCGTTTGACCTGTTCATTTTTTTAATAGAATACATACCCCTTCTGTAATGAATTGAATAGTATTAGATTTACAGTATCTCTATTATCTATTCTTCAACATGTTCAACCTGGAAGAATCTTCATCTACTATCCAGCCCTTTGAACTGTATAACAAGAAGAAACTAATTTGATTACAGTTTATGGAACAAGAAGGGTCGTTTAAGTTGCCCCAATACATGTCTACTGATTCGAACCTTATTGGCAAGTTAAACTCACATGCCTTTCCGAAAAGTACTGACTGTACGAGTCTTTTTTGATTCTGCAGCCTACACAATATACCAACATATTATCATTTCACTTAAATGTGGGACTAAGAGTAGGAGACACATGAACATTTTTCTGAAATTGTTACTTTTTAATGATAAAAGATCTGATGTTCTATGATGTTTTGTTCATATATGTTAAGAAACTCCAATTACTCTAGTTCATGAAAGCTCATATACTTTATATTTATGTCGTTTTCCAGGACCTTGCAAGTGCAGGAGCAACAAAGAGGCCTACTTGCTGTGTTTTGGTGCTGACCAAGCCTGCAAAGGGTGAAATAGAGAAAGGAGAACAAGAGAAACTGAAGTCTGATTATGATCAAGTTGTATCGGATGTTACTGAGCTTGCAACTACTACGCTTTTTTGAAACTAGCGCACATGTAATCTGTATTGTTTGTTCCACCGTTGGATTAACATGCAGCAGTGTACCTTACAATCAATTAATGTTATTATGTATGGATTTTTTTTATTTTTCTATCTGGATCATCATTTTCTTGTTATAAAGGCTGGTTCTGCTTTAGCTTGATCAATCCACTGGAGTCATGACTTTCCCATGAGGAAGGCCGAAACAAGCAAAAATTTTCTTTAAACCTTGGTAGTAATAATATTCTACAATCCACAGGGGTTAAGGATTTTTGTTTCTTTGTTTTTCTTCAACTTTTGACATTCCATAGTGAGGACGGGCTGTTGGAGTAAAATATTTCTGAAACAAGCAAATTGGATGTGATATGAATTGAATAACAAGACTAGCTTTTTAACCTTCCCTCAATAATTGTAGTTCTGCATATGTTTTTAAACTTTGTTAGTTGATTGTTCCATTAGTGCTTCAAAGATGACTTCTTTAAATTATACATGTATGAAATAGATAAATTGTAGTTCTGCATATGTTTTGGATCTCACACTAGAAGTGAGTCTAGTCTACGCTTAGACATTTGATTGTGTGGCACTGTAGGTATGGTTTGTGAGATGGAATTTAAGATACCAGTTGAGTCACCCCTCATTATATGTAATAGAAAAATTAATTATATATTACAATTCACAAAATATGCATTATATGGCTATTCTTTTGGTACGACATTATAATAATTATTACTTCAAACTATATACTTATAGATGCATTTTTGGTCTTTCTTGTTGACTCTAAGCAAAATAAATTTTGACTTGGAAAAGATAATTATAATACGAAAACTTGAGTACGTAAAATTTAAAACATTACATTCACAGAAATGTTTACAAGTTAACAATATTACGTCAAGTCTAAAATTAGTCACTAACATAATGAATTTCATGTTTTTATTCATGGAGGTAGTACTAACATTTGATTCGAATATCACGTCTTCCTCGATCACATTTTTAAATAGAGCCCCAGTGGTGTGTATAGTACAAAGCAACTATTTATTAGCATAAGGTTTTTGCTAACAAATGCTGTAAAGATACTTGTTAAAAATAAAATAAAAAATGTATTTAATAAAAATAAAGCTTTTTAAGTTTTAATATATTAAATCTTTGAGTAAAAGTCCATTTTGGGTCCCTAACAAAAAATGCAGTCCCCACTTTCGTCCCTTAAAAAAAATTCATATTAATCCACTTTTAAAAACTAAATTGAGTCTTCATTGAATTTCATTTTCAAAGAATTGAAATTGTAGAAGGACCTAAAGTTGATTTTTTTTTGTAAGGGACGAAAGTGAATACCGTAATTTTATTAGGGATCCAAAAGGGCTTTACTCTAAATCTTTTACCTTTTCATTTTATACTTTTTTATTTTGATTCTTTAAACTCACAATTTCACTCTACAAATTCTGGAGTACATTTGTGAAAACGACAGTTATCTTAAATTTTAACTTGTCAGCTGAATCGGATAGTAAGGAATAATCAGCCCAACACCAATAAAAACTAATAGTAGGGAATCGGTTTAAGCTTCTTGTTTGTATATTTTTTTCAAAGTTCTTAATTCAATCAAAAACATGTTTTTAACCACATAAATGTTCTATGCCGATATACAAAAGCCCACGCACGAAGTTTAATACGAAATGTTATTATTTAATCCCTTATTATTTTACAGGACATATATTTATTTAAAATTTTTCCTAACTTGATTTTGCAAGTTAGTTTTTTAATTTATTATAATAATAATCAAAATAAATATTTAATTAACACAATTTAACAACGGTTATATCAATAGACGGTAAATTAGTACCTTCACGGGTTCAATAAGGAATCCAGTTTTTAAAACATTCATCATACCCCACTCAGTTTTAAAATACGATCCCCCACCTTATCAAGCCTAATTGTACTCATTACTACCATATATAAGGCAAAAGCAAACATTAAATGAAATATCTTTAGACTATCCAATACAATTGGTTTCTTTATGCGACAGATTTTTAATTCCTAGTTCACATGTAATGAAGCTTGTTCCGTTGAAAATTCTAGTATTCAAGTTGCATGCCCAAAAAGCACAACGTAAAATAATCACCACATAACTACTATAAGTCAAACTGAAAACATATATCACTCAACTACTTGGTTCTGTTCAACAAAAGTTATAAAAGGAAATATCAACTGGAAAAGCTCAAGAGAATAAAGAACAGACTATAAGCAAGTTTATTATTCCACCAAGTGGATAAGTTATTTAACGAGAACAAAGATATACAGAAGCTTATATATTGAGTAAAGACATATAATGGTTGACAATTCAATATTACATCTTAAGTGAATGCCGAAATATACGGTCAGCCCCCTAAGGTCGTCCCCTACTACTTGATTTCAAGCAGTACCTCACAGATGGTTATTGTTTGCAGGGACCTTATACATATAATGATGAGGTTTCTTTCATAGATGGTGATGACAATAAAGAAAATGTATATACATATTATTTTTGGGATTTCAAACCCTGAAATAAAAGCACACCAACAGCACCAATGGCCAAAGACAGAACCAGGGGTATGGCTACGGATTCAACTTCACGCATTCTGTTTGTCTGGTCTGTTCTTTCCAGCCGTGACCTTTCTCCAAAATATTCATGCAAAATATTGCTCAGAGTGTCTAGTTGATGCATGATTTGACGTTGTCCTCGTGCAACAAGTAAAACCTATTTAAGAAAAAAAAAAAAACTACCCAATGAGGTTCATTGCTTAAATGAAATTTCAAAGTAATTCCCTTCAAGTAGCATTTTTCCCCTCGTTGATCAAGATCACATCCATAGTCTCGTCTTCTTTCAAAGTGCATCTAACTCTCATGTGCACTTCCATCAATAGGTTAAAAACCTCACCATAAGTTAAATGACATAGCAGAGCACAATGTTTTGTTTTCATTTTAAAACGCATTATAAACTGATATTTTTTTTCAAACTTACTATTTCAAGTATTTTATTATTTTTTGTCCGCCAATGCTCATTCATAGATCCACCCTTATCTAAATAGTGACATAATCGGGTGGCAGTAAGTCCTAGTTTCTTGACATGCAGATAAGAGCGGGACTCAGTTAAAGAAAACTACTCCAAATTTTGCTACTGACTGACGTATAGCTCTAACAAATAATATAAATATTATTTATTAACTTTCTTTCTCCAATGGGAGCAACCTGACACCATCTTCAATGCTATCTGAAATGAGGGAAGATGGGAGGTACCGAAAATGTTTGACCAGGTCACTTCGAATCTAAAAATTGTTTCCCCAAGTATCAGAATCACCCTCCCATATCTTAGTTCCATATCTTATGTGCAAACATATTACTATAGACTATAGCATGCTCAACAGATTATACAAATGGGTTTTCTTAAAGTGTGGCCTATTAAAAATAGAATCATTATTTTTCATGAAATTATCCAAATTATTTAAAGAAAAAAAATATTAAATGCTTTTTGGATTTTAAAGATAACAAATGCTTGTGTTCTTCATTTAATTGTTTTTATTCTGGGAATGGATCCTCTCATGTGACATAAGGTCATATGAGAGAATTTCAGCCGTCCATATATAGATCATCAGTTATTTATTTCTCACCCTTTATCTAAATGCATTCTCTCTTGATTTGGGTCTAAACAGCAGTAGTCCTCTTATATCATCTTACAGAGGATCCATTCACTTCTATTTTTCATTACTTAACATGTGTTTCAAGGGCACTCATTTACAAAACCACATAACAAATTTATCCTTTCTCATTTGGAGTTCCCTCGTATAATATTTATCTCACGAGTAATAGAATGCAACATCTCAGACACATAGGATATGCAGTATGCATATATGTACTTTACGGCACTACTGTCACGTGAATTCAAAATGACGGATATATCACCTACCTCTTCCATCAGGGGAGACTCTCTAGCCAATTGGGAAGATGATGAAGAATTAGGCAGCAATGATCCAGTCATTGAACCATTGCCCAATCCAGTTACAAAGAGGGAAGTGGGACCTGAGCCATTGCAGGCTTCAGCCTGCAAAGCCAAGTTTTGTTGACTGGCTGAAACTTTTCTGATTGCAAACTTTGAATTCAGCTCTTCAATACGGGAGGTGAACTCATCCATTCTTTCATTTAATGTGGAAATTTGATCAGAAAGTTGAGTGATGACTCCCTGGACAACTCATAAGCAAATATCAGTGAATGACTCATTTAGATGGGTAGAAAATTAAACAGAAAAAAAAAACTTCTAGTCACAAAGGTGGACAGCTATTAATTGTTGCACCTTCTCTATGCCAAAAATTATACGTAAATATAAAACTGAAATTTGGGATTCTGAATGTTACTGATTTATTTTTTATGAACAGTGTTATAATATATAGATAGATATGTGCAATCACTTTCCTGATAAGAAGATAAATCGAGAGAAATACATAAGAAATAGATATGTCCTATAATTGTAATCCGTCTTATAAAAAAGGGCAACATGGTGCTATCAACCTCTCACTATGCAAATGGTTCACGGAAGAGCCAGAATCCTTGCGTGGGTCTATAATATACAATCTTACATTGTATTTGCAAGAGGTTGATTACATAAATTGACCGAGTCATATGATGACACCACCAATTGTTGTGCCAAGACTCACCTTCTATATATAAGGGAAAAAATAAATCTACAATAATTGCAAAATTATTCCTTTTATACTTACAACACTCTCTTCAATCTGATAAATGAATATCTATCGTTCTAGCTAGTCAGTGAGATCTTGAAATCTTTTGATAAGAAGTCCCTTAGTCAACACATAATCTAATTGAAGTCATGAAGGGATATTTAGAGTAGTAATAAGCCCACTATCCAATTTCTCGTCGATGAAATGGTATCAATGTTTTTTGTTCTAAAATGATGAACCGGATTATAAGCTATATTATTGGCGGATTTATTTTCACAAACAACTTCATAGGTCTTTCATATTTTAACTTGAGATTGTCTAGTATAATTTTCAATAATAATAATTCACAAACCCCTTGAGCCATAGTTTGACTTGAATATAAAATAATATGTTGTGTATTGATCTAATTGAGAGAGTTACAATATATAGAAACCCTAATGGGCTTAAGTGAAAGGCCCAGACCTAATACAATCAGAATATTTACGGATAGGAAGTAATCTAATCATATCTAACCATATCTAATCACATCTAATCATATCTAATCACATCTAATATATTCTAACACTCTCCCTCAAGCTGGTGCGTATATATTGTGAGCACCAAGCTTGTTACAAATGTATTCAACCCGAGGACCTCTAAGAGCTTTAGTGAAGACATCCGCTAGTTGATCAGAAGAGTTGACGAACGCTGTCTTGATTTCTCCTGACTGAATCTTTTCTCGAATGAAGTGACAATCAATCTCTATATGTTTGGTCCTCTCATGAAATACAGGATTAGAGGATATATGTAGCGCAGCTTGATTATCACAGATGAGTGTCATGGGTTGTTTCTGTTCACAAAGATGAAGCTCCTGAATCAACTGCTTTAACCAGATTAACTCACAGGTAGTATTTGCCATTGCACGATACTCAGCTTCTGCACTAGATCAAGCAACAACAGGTTGTTTCTTGCTCTTCCACGAAATTAAGTTTCCTCCATAGAAGACACAATAATCGAAAGTAGAGCTCCTGTCCGAGGGTGATCCTGCCCAATCAGCATCTGAATAATCACAAATTTCTGTATTTCCCTGATCCGAATACAACAAACATTTTCCTGGTGCTCCTTTGATGTATCGGAGGATCCTCACAGCAGCATTCCAATGTGAATCACAAGGGGAATCAAGGAACTGACTAGCCGTACTAACAGCAAAAGAAATATCTGGCCTAGTCACAGTAAGATAATTGAGCTTCCCAATTAGCCTCCGATAACGTCCAGGATCAGACAACGGCTCCCCCTGTCCGGGCAATAACTTGACATTAAGATCCATGGGTGTATCAACTGGTTTACTCCCCAACATACCAGTTTCTTCTAAGATATCCAAGGCATACTTCCTTTGACAAATAGAAATGCCCTGTCTAGATTGCGCCACCTCAATTCCCAAGAAGTAACGCAGCTTCCCAAGGTCCTTTGTTTGAAATATACTGAATAAATACTGTTCTAACTGACGAATTCTGTCTTGATCACTTCCGGTGAGAATGATGTCGTCAACATAGACTAACAAATAGATGCACTTGTCAGGAGATGTAATCCTATAAAATACAGAATGGTCAGCTTTACTGCGAATTAAGCCAAACTCCTAAACAGCAGAACTGAAGCGACTGAACCATGCTCGAGGAGACTGCTTGAGACCATATAAGGATTTTCGAAGACGACACACCTTCCCAGACTTCCCCTGAGCAACAAAACCAGGTGGTTGCTCCATGTAGATTTCTTCTTGTAAATCACCATGAAGAAATGCATTTTTGATGTCAAGTTGAAGGAGTGGCCAATGACAAATAGCAGCAAGAGCAAGAAATAGGCGAACTAACGCCATCTTAGCGACCAGAGAGAATGTATCGCTATAATCAAGGCCGAAGATTTGAGTAAAACCCTTTGCAACTAGGCGTGCCTTGAGTCGATCGACATGGCCATCAGGTCCAACTTTCACAGTAAACACCCAACGACAACCAACTATAGACTTCTCTGGAGGAGCAGAAACAAGGTCTCAAGTGCCATTGGAATGAAGTGCAGTCATCTCATCAAGCATCGCTTGGCGCCACCCTGGATGGGAAAGTGCTTCACCTGTGGTCTTAGGAATAGAAACAGAAGAAAGACTAGAAACAAAGGTGAAATGAGGTGAAGAAAGACGATCATAGCCCAAAAAGGTATAAAGAGGATAAGGATTACGAGTAGTACGTGTACCTTTTCTTTGAGCAATGGGAAGAGCCTCTGGTGAAGGATTCGGAGAGGAAGAATCAATAGCAGTGGGCGATGAGTCAGCAAGAGTCGAGTCGACATGAGGCACAATTTTACAACGCTGATAGGTGAGAAGTGGACGGTCCGCAGGTATAGAAGCAATAGGTTGCTCATCTGGATTAGAAGCAATAGGTTGCTCATCTGGAATAGAAGCACCTGCAGTTGGCAAAGACAAGTCAAGAAAAGGGACAGGAAGAACATGATCAACCTGTGACAACAGAGATGGGATAGAATTAAAGGGTTGTTGATCAAGAAAAGTGACATCAGCGGAAACTAAGTAACGCTTAAGATCGGGAGAATAACAACGATAACCCTTTTGAAGACGAGAATAACCAAGAAAAAGACATTTAAAGGCTTTAGATGTTAACTTGTCCTTACCAGGGGTGAGATCATGAACAAAACAGGTACAACCAAAGACATGTGGGGATAGAGGATAGAGAGGAACATCTGGAAGCAATAAGTTATAAGGAATGTCATTATTAAGCACAGATGAAGGCATACGGTTGATGAGAAAACAAGAGGCAAGGACTGCATCGGCCCAAACGTGAAGAGGAACATGCATGTGAATAAGAAGAGTCCCAGTCTCAATAAGATGTCTATTCTTACGTTCAGCTACTCCATTTTGTTGTGGAGTGTGAGGACAAGTAGTTTGGTGTAAAGTACCATGTTTGGCTAAGAAATTAGAAAAGTCCACATAAACATATTCCTTAGCATTATCACTACGTAAAATATGAATAGAGGCACCAAATTGAGTATGAATTTCAGCAGAAAATTTTTGATAAATAGAAAACAACTCAGAACGGTTTTTCATTAAATAAATCCAAGTGCAACGGGAGAAATCATCAATAAAGGTAACGAAATACCGAAAACCTAAAACAGACAAGGTACGACTTGGACCCCAGATATCTGAATGAACAAGAGAGAAAGGGGCATCAGCTCGTTTAATGTCTCGACTGGCAAAAGAGGAGCGTGTATGTTTCCCTTGTTGACATGACACACAATCTAAAGACTGAAGACCGGATAAAAGAGGAACCATCTTCTGCAACTTTGAAAGACTTGGATGACCGAGGCGACTGTGGATAAGTTGTGGAGATTCTGTGAGAGAGCATGCCGCTGAAGGACGAGGCACCTCTAGATAGTAAAGCCCCCGTGACTCACGACCCACTCCAATCATCTTCCCCGTACCCGGATCCTGCACAGAAACAGAATGGTTAGAAAAAGTAATTGTGCAAGTGAGGGAGTGGATCAATTTACTAATAGAAATTAAGTTATAAGGGATGCCAGGAATGTAATAAACAGATGTCAAGGCCAAGGTAGAGGTCGGACGAGCTTGTCCAATCCCACGAACTGGAGCTTTGGTTCCATCAGCAAGGGTAAATGAAGGTAAATGATCAGAATAAGTAAGAGATGTAAAGAGTTCCTTATTACCACAGAGATGATCGGTAACACCTGAGTCAAATATCCAAGTGCCAAGTGATGTAGATTGAGAAACACAAGCAACGGGATTACCAGTATATAGAGCGGAGGGCTGAGACTAAGGAGAAGCCTTCTTGAGAAGAGTTTGGAGTGCAGCATAGTCCGCAAGTGAGAGAGAAACTGAACCAAATGATGCATTGTCTGACTGCTGAGCTATATTCGCAGCAAGAGAGGTGGCCCAATTCTTGTAATTAACAGAACCCTTCAATTTTGAAGAGGTAATGGACCCAACACTGGTAGAGATAATATTGGGAGAATTTTTGACAGGAGGAGGTTGAGAATTGACCTCCGAATGATCAGAATCATTTGTTGCCATAATATTATATAGGAGATGACCAAATCTGAAACAGAAATTTTTTTATTTTTTTTTCGTGAACAGTACCTGTACGGACGGGGTGAACAGTGTTTTGTACGGACGGTGAACAGTAACGGTACGGGCGCGGTGAACAGTGAAATCGTACGTACGGTGAATAGTGCAGCCTGTCCAAACGATGAACAGTATACTGTACAGACGGTGAACAGTAAACCGTACAGACTGTACGGACGAGATGAACAGTATTTTTTGTTTTTTTGAAGACCGTGTGAACAGTGTAGAACTAAGCCGGAGGGACGCACGACGTTAGAGGAAGGAGAGAACGCCTAAGCAGTGAGCTTAGGGTTTTAGCGGAAGCGAAAATTCCCAGAACAAAGAGCTCTGATACCAACTTGAATATAAAATAATATGTTGTGTATTGATCTAATTCAGAGAGTTACA